GACGCGCACCTATGCGGATGCCCTGCCTGGACCCAGCTCGCGTCGCCCATCGCTCGTGGGGGCGGCGCTGCCAGACCTGAACAGCGTCCCATCACCTGGACTGCCGCCCCCGCCGCGGCCCAAAAGCAGAGCGAGCCTGCACAAGATCAAGTGGCCGCCGATGATACCGACGTCGCCGCTGGCGGGACAGCAGCAGCCGCAGGACACGAACGCGACTGCTTCTGGTGCTTCGAGCCCGGCATCGGCATCAGCATCGCTACTGGGACATGAAGGCATCACGACAGCGACAACGACAGCGGAGAACCCGTACATCAATCCGACGCCACGTCTCTCGCAGCTCTACGTCGGCCGCGAAGGACACCAACACCAACACCAACACCAACACCACCCCCACGACCACCACCAACACCCCCACACGCACGCACACAGCCGGAGTTTCTCGCTGCCGGGTGCGCCTCCTCCTCCTGCTCCTCCTGCTCCTCGCCCGTCGGACACGGCTTCCGGATACAGTCCGGTGCTTCGCTCCGCGCCCCCGACGGGGAACACGCCGAGGCACACGCCGAGCCCGCTCTCGTCACCCGCTAGCGCAGAGGCCGCTGCGCCACCTGCGGCTGCGGCTGCGGCTGCGCCTGCACGCAAACCTAGCTTCCAACGGCACCTGCGGTACTTATCGTCGCTGCAAAGGGTCGAGAAGATCCTGGTCAAGGGTAAAACACGAACAACGGTTGGGAGGGGGACTGATGGACAGCGGCGCGGCGTTGGCGACGGCGACGGCGATGGGGGCAGCGGCAGCGGCAGCAGTGGGGGCGGGGGCAGTGTGCGTGGCGGTTGCGAGAGGGAAGAGGGAAGGAGGATAAGAGGGAGCGAGGGAGACGGACTGGCCGCAAGCAGCGCGCCGTGCTCACCGGTCTGGGCCATGGAAATGAAACGTATGTTTTTTGTTCGCCACTAGCCTTGTCGCCGTGGTTGCGGTTGCTGACCGTCCTGGGGGCAGACGCGGGCAGCGAGGCCGAGGGGTCGCGCCGATCACCCGGCGTCGGCCAATTGCCGGAAGGAGAACCGGCGGGAGCCATATCGCGGCTTCCTTTGCGACCATTGATCTCCCTTTCCCACGGTCGGCGGGGCTCAGCTGCGTCGACCGCGGCTAGCTCAGAAGAAAGTCACGAGCCACCACACACCCCAGACGACAACAGGATATCCGTCTCCTCTACAGTATATCAGGACTCAAACATAATCACCTACAACGACCACATCTTCCACAACGACGCTCCCTTGACCCCTTTCCACGACGACAGCATCAGCTCGGCCATGGACTCTGATCGCAACTCTTTCATCGACCTCGCGTCTCCCACCTTCTCTCCTCATTTGATAGATTTCTCCTCTAATGCGTCTCATTCACGTTCGCACCACCGTCCGTACGCTACCGAGTCTCGTATCGCCGACTCCGCGCGCTCGCGTGCCAAACCAACCTTGCCTGCCATCTCCACCGCCGCCGTCTCCTCCAAGCCGCCCATCCCTACCTCGCCCAAGCCTGACTTCAGGCGACGCTCGCGTTCCGCCCAGCCACCACCCAAAAACACCCCCGACAGCCCCAGCGTGCAGGAGGTCACCTACACCCGCGTCCGTCCCCCGACGACCAACCTCCTGAACCCCGTCGAACGCGCCGAAAAGGTGCGCAGCACACGAAAGCTGGCGCGAGTCTTCGGGCAGCCCCCCGCGAACGCGGAGGCCGTTGCCATGTCCCGCTTGTCGTGCGAGGCCAGCGTACCGAACGCCCTGCTCTGCGCGCCGACGAGCGGGCTCGTGCTCGGCGGCGGAAAGCGCGGCTTCAACAGCCCCAAGCACCACCACCACCACCACCGCGGTGCCGTTTCCATGTTCGTCACGCCGGGCGGCTCCGACGCGCCGCAGCCGCCCTGGCCACTGCCGGAGCCCGACGCGCCGCACTGCGTCGCGCTCAGCGCGCGGCGGCACTCGACGCCGCTCACCCCGGAGACGTTCCTGTTCACGGAGGATGACCTGGCGTCGCCCGACCGCTCCTCGCTCGAGAGCGACGGCTCGCGCCACGCGACGCACGTCATCGAGATCAGCTCGCGGCGGGGGACGCCGCACAGCGACTGGAGCAGCCACGCCGGGCGGCGCGGCGGCGGCAGCGGCGCGGGACCGCCGGGCTCGCCCACGTCGTTCATGGACCTGTCTGAAGAAGACGGGGGGCTCGCTGATGGAGCCTCTTCTGTCATCACCGTCGAGACGCCCACGAGAGATAGAAGACCGGGCCTCGCAAAGGTGTCCTCGTCCGCCGCGTCCATCTGCAGCTTCACGTCTGAGGACCTCGCAGAGGAGGAGCGCCGCCGCAAACGCGAAAAGCTCGCCAAGCTCCACCGCTTCCTCGGCTCGCGCGTCCCCCTCGACATCGTCCTCGGCCAGCTGAGCATCGGCTCCGCAGTGCAGAACCTTGATCTCCCCCCTGTTGCCGACGCCGAGCAGCAACAACAGCAACAGCAACAGCAACAGCAACAGCACCCGTGCGCACGCATGGACTCTGACTCGCGCAAGACATGGGCCCGGAGGCGGCGAAGCAGCTCCGTGGGCGAGCTGGGCCACAAATGGTCAGACGACGTGGACCGGCTCAAGGCAGAGCTCAACGACAAGGAGAAGGCGCAGAACGTGAAGCGGGCAATGAAAATGGAAAAGGTGCGTTGTTATCTTTTGGGTGTACACATCGTGTTTCACTGACTGTGGCTTGTACCCTGTCAAGATGTTCGGCGTTGCCCCGCCGCAGACATTATACCACACGCGTGCTGCGCCGCCGTCGTCAGGGGGCGCCAACCATGCCAGCAGCCCAAGCGCGAGCGGCGCCGCACACTTTTCGGGCGCACCTCAGAGCCCCAGCTCGCCGACGTTGCGCAACATGAACCAGAGCGCATACATGAGGAACAAGGCGAAGCGGGGGGCCGCCCAGGGACGGCCGAGTCTGCAGAGCCCCTCATTAGTTCCCATGGGAACGGACGCCTGGGCTCGCCCCAAGGTTTCTCCGACATCTACGAGCACTATCGCCACTCGCTCAACTCGCTCAACGACATCCTCGACCGGGTGAGTGTGTCTCTTCCTTCGCGCTTGGCGCAGTCGAGGCTTCGCTGACACTGGTGCTGTGCGTGTGTCTTTTATGCAGGACGACAAGGAGAGCCTGCAGCGCCTACACGGGATCATCCACGGTGACGCCGAATCACCGTCCCTGCAGGAGTTCGCGCGTGCGCCCCCGCCTCCACCGGTAGGTAGCGACTCGCCCTCGCCGCCGCCGACGCCCAAGGCCGAGCGGCGGCGGTCGCTGCCGACCCGGGCGTCGGTCACGTCCCTCGCGTCGCAGTACAGCTTCTCGAGCGTCGTCACGACGCCGCCGCCGCCGCCCGAGGAGAACGCGTTCCAGGTGCGCCGTCGGCGCGCCGCGAAGCTGACCCAGTTCTTCGGCGTCGACTACCGCGAGCTCATGAACGAGGTCTTTGAGAGCCTCGAGCTCGGCCTCGAGGAGGAGGGCGGCCGGGGCACGTTGAGGCCCGAGGAGGTTGCGGTGCGTGCTTGCTTGCTTGTCTTTCTTGGTGTGCGGGGGAGCTGACGTTTTTTGGTGTTGCCAGGAACTGCTGAACAAACTGCGCAAGCTCAAGTCGAAGCGCAACAGCATGTTTTCATGAGTCATCACTTACTTACTTTTCCTTTCTCTCTTTCACCTTTACACAAACGTCGTCATGACCCCGAGGGCCCTGCGCAAGGACCGCTGCCCATGAGAACCCCATATATTACACATACCACCGAACTATCCCTTTTTTTAATATCGTCGCGGCACTTGCGCAGGATCGTCAACATGCTGTCAAAAACCTTACCTTTCGTTCGCGCTCTGACCTCTGTGTATAAGTCTTTCCCATCTGTATATTGTCACTCAGGTATCTCTCCCATCTGTGATATATCCAATACCATATCGAATGCATGCATAAGTGTCATAAAGACCAAGAGTACGAGAGAAAAAAAGAAGTGACTACAGGATGACCAGGTCGCCGCGACAGGAGTGGCACCAGAAAACATGCGAGTCGTCCAGGAACTGCGTCTTCCTCGCTGGCGACGCCGCACGCGGCGTGCCAGGCGTCGAACCAGCCGGCTCGACGACGGTGGGCAGCGCAGCCGTCCGCTGTGCCGGCGATGCCCGCGACGGCGGGTGCGACGTCGCCGCGGCCGAGGCGGCCTCGCTGTCGATGCGCGCTTTGAGCATGCCGAGGCTGACCATGCGCCGGTGCCGCGTCTCGGCGGACAGGCCCTCGAACGAGGACGGCGGCGAGAGCGGGCGCGCGAGGTTCGCCGAGCGCACCGAGCTGAACGACGCGCGCCGGAGCTCGTCCGAGTGGTCGACGATGCGCGGCGTGGGGCGCCCGGCGGTGCTCCCCGGCCGCGGCGAGTGCCTCGCGGAGGCGGCAGAGGCGGTGCGTGTGTGCGCGAGCTGGTCTTCGAGCGCGGCGACTTGGCGTTGGAGCGCGTGGGCCTTGGCCTCGGCCTCGAAGACGGCAGTCTCGAGGTGGCGGATCTCGCTCTGTGCGGCGGAGTGCTCGAGGGCGTGCTGCTGCTTGACCACGTTGAGCATCTCTTCGTCGAGGGACGGCGACTGCGGGGTTTCGGGCATGGTGCTCTGCTGCAGCCGTTCGATCTCGCTGTCCTTGGCAGCCAGCTCCGCGTGCAGGGCCTCCAACTCCGCCCTCGTCCGTTCGAGGACTTCTCCAGCGTCGTCTTCCGCGCGTTTCCGCTCGTCGAGATCCCTCTTCAGCGAGGAGAGCTGCTCCGCGTACGTCTGAGCAGAGGTTGTCAACCGATCGACTTCTTGCGTCCTCTGGGTGGCTATCTTGCGATACTCAGAGCGCTCCGACTCCAAGGATGTCAGGCTGGAGTGTGCGTCCTGCAGTTCTTTCTGAAGCTCCGAGTACGCCTTCTGAAGCTCCGAAGCATTCTCATTGGAAGACGACCGTTCCTTCTCCATGGAGCTACCGAGCGTGCGGATCTGCGCTTCGGCCTGCGCACACTTCTCGCGCAGCTCCTCGATAGCTCCTTCCAGCCGCGCGATAGTGTCGTCTCGCGATCGAAGATCCTTGTTCAAGCCTTCTACCCTGTCGCCGAGCTCAAGCTTGGTATCGGTAAGCTCCACGATTTTCGGCCGCATTTCTTCAAGAGAGCGCATGAGCCCGATGCCTTCCGCTTGCAAGTCCGCCTGAGTCTTTTCGGCCTCTTCCGCACGCCGAGTCGCAGCCTTCAGCTCCGCTTGCGCTTGTTGCAACGCTCGGACACTCGTAGAGAGTTCAGATGTCGTCTGGGCGAGCTTCTGCTTGAGTTCATCGACCGAGCTCGTGCGTTCCTCGATCTGTAACTGGAACCGGGACCGTTCCTGCAACAGATCATCCCGCGCCGCAGACATCGACGTTAGCTGCTCCTGAGCAGTCTTATGCAAGTTTTCAGCTTCCGCGTGACGACTTTGCCAGTTAGCTTCGGCCTGCTTCAAAGCTTGGAGCTTCGTCTCCAACTCTTCCCGTTCGTTCTTCAGCATGCTCTGAGCCTAGTTCAAGGTCAGCGCATGATCCAGTGCATGCAAATCTCCATCCTCACCTGCGTCAGCTTCGAAACTTGGAACTCAAGCTCCGCAGCTCGATCTTGGGTGTGTTGAAGTTCGGCCTCGAGACGCTCGGCACGGTCATCGCTCTCGATTTGTTCCTCTAACTCGCGGACCCTCCTCTGATACTGCTCGACTTGACTCCGCAGCTGGGCAGTAGCACCATTCAAGTCATGCAAGTCACGTTCCTGTGACAGCATAAATCCTCAGAGATCCACGGCTGCCGATACAAATGCTTACCAAGTCGCGGGTTTTGTCGGTGAGGGCTTTCTCCGAGTTGGTCAGCTGCGCGATCCGTTCCGTAGTGTCGCGGTTCTGCACAATCAAGTCTTGTACGGCACTCTGCAATCGCGCAGCTCGTTCACGCTCGGCTTCGAATAGAGACGTCGTCTCTTGTAGCCCTGGTATAGCGTCAATATACGCGGTGGAGTGCCACAAGCGCAGCGTAGGACTCACTAGTCTCGGCATCTTCTAGGCGTTCGACTGACGCCGTAAGCTGAGTCTTCTCTGAAACCAACAAGGAGATGGTTTGCTGCTGCTGCTCAGCGCGGGTAGAGAGTTCTTGCAAGCTGGCTTCGAGTTCCTCGATTTGTGAGTCCTTGCCTTCTGCTCTGGCCAGCGCATCCTTCATGGTAGCTTGTGTATCTTGCAGTTCTGCACGTCTGGTGAATAAAGCTCTAAAATTCCGCATAGCGCTACGCACTGGCTTCTGAGGCTTTGAGACGCCTCCACATTCGCATTGAAGGGCGGCCTTCTCAAACTGAAGCGAC